GCGAAGTGTTGTCGCTACTTCGCGCTGCCGATCGACACCCCCACGGAGTTCTCGGATTTCGAGTTCATTCGCTGGTACCTGTTGCACGATCGGGCCTCGGTATTTCTGGACGAAGGAACGTGGTACTTGCTCGTCCACACGACCTGCAAGCACTTGCAGGACGACCATCGCTGCGGGATCTACGAGACACGCCCGCAGATTTGTCGCGACTATACGACCGATGCCTGCGAGTACGACGACGATTGGTGCTACGAGAAGTACTTTGAAACGCCAGAGCAGATCTGGGAGTACAACGAAGCCACCATGGCTCGCCGTCCAGGGCAAAGCCTCCGCAGCCCCAAACCGCCGGAGCTGCCGATTCTTTCGTAGGGCGAACGGGCGACAGAATCGAAGACGAGGCCCTTCTTTCGCCCCGTTGGGGCTGAGATGTTGTCGGGAAACCGATTCCAGGGGTTCGCACCCCTGGCTATTATCTGCCGCCCCTTTCAGGGCTTAAGAGCGATCGTTCTTCGCGAACTTACGCTGGTTTCCCTTGTCCCTACTTTACTTTCAAACCATCCCGAACCTGACCCAAATCTCATGGCGAATAAGAAGAAGATCCAACCTCGTACGCTCAAAGGCTTTCGCGACTATCTGCCGGACGCGATGATGCCGCGGGAAGAGTTGGTCAACACGGCGCGACGCGTTTATCGTTCGTACGGCTTCGCTCCGATCGATACGCCTACGTTGGAATATGCCGAGATTTTGCTGGGTAAAGGAAGCGACGAAACGGACCGGCAGATGTACCGTTTCCAGGATCATGGCAAACGAGACGTCGGGATGCGTTTCGACTTGACGGTGCCGCTGGCTCGGTTTGCCGCTCAACACATTGGCGAACTAGGCACGCCATTCAAACGGTATCACATTGCGACGGTTTGGCGCGGCGAAAACACCCAGCGTGGTCGTTACCGCGAGTTCATGCAGTGCGACTTCGACACGATCGGCACCAAGAGCATCGTTTCCGATATCGAAACGGCGTTAGTCATTCATGACTTGATGCTGGCGATCGGCTTCG